GCCTTTAACACACAGGCCTTTGGGGGTTGTGTGACATGGAAACTATGGCAGCTTCTTTACCTACACAAAACCAGGTGGTCCATGCCATAGTTTGCTGATCCCTTTTTTAAAAGATAAGGACTCCTTTAAAAATAGAATCAGGGCTGGGGTTGTGGGTCAGTGGTAGAGCACTTGTCTGGCATGTGTGAGGCCCTGGGTTTGAATCTCATATAAATAAAATAAAGGCCCATCGATAACTAGAAACAAAACAAAACRAAACCCCAAAAAGAAACCACAGGTTCATTGTCAGATTAAAAAATATTAACAATGATTTTTTAACATCTTTAAATACCTGGTTTAATTCCCCCAACTGTTTTGTATTTTTTTTTTGTTGTTATTTTAATGTTGTATTTGAACAGTATCCGAGTTGCATCCATATGCTACAAGTGACTGATAAATCTCAAGCTGTTTTCTTTCAACTTTGCAGTGTCTCTTTCTCTTCCATATCTGTGCAGAAGGAATTAGTCTGTTCTGGGCAGTTTTTCAGCCTCAAGTTTGCAGGACAGACCTGGGTCTATCCTCAGATATCACCCCGTTTCTCCTTACACTCCTGGTTTGGAGATCTCATCCCGTGTTGTGGGTTTAAAAACACGCTGGATCCCCTGCCTAGATAACTTCTGTCTGGGTCTCTCCCCTAAACAGGCTCAAGCTCCAGCTTGCCCACGGGCCGTCTCACCCATGTGCTTACCAGGAGCTCAAGCCTAGCAGGTCCAGCCTGCAGCTCGGGGTCCTCTCCCCTGAACGTGTGACTCCCTGGTTTTCCTGGTTGGCCCTCTTTCCACACACTGAGGCCCAGATCCTGGGCGTCAGCTGTAAGTGCAACTTTCTTTCATTCTCTGTCGGCTCCACCTTTGCAATATCCCTGGGTCCAGTCACTTCTGACCACCGCCAAGTCACAGTTCTCCCTGTGCTAGCCAGGATCCCCCTCTGGGCTATTCCTGACACGGTCATCAGTGTGCTTGATCCAGTTAAAATAAAAGCCGGAGGAGCCCACCGCTCTGGTTCTCACAGCCCCTCAGGGGCTCCCAAGTGCTTCCTAGTCCAAGTTCCAATGTCTACAATGGCCAAAAAGATCCTGCTCCTCCTGATTCTTCCCCGACCCCATCTCCTACTGTCCCCACCCTCATGCGATTTATTAAAGAACATGCAAACCATCTTCCTAACGTCAGGGCCTTTGCATTATTGTATTTTTTTTGTTCTTTCTGGCTCAGATATTCCTGTGACTCATTCCCTCCTGTTCTTAGATCTCCCCTGACCATGTTCTCCTCGAGGGCCCCACTCCTTCACTGTTTGTCTCCTCCTCCCTGTTTTCTCTGTCTCTGATGCCGTCATCTCTTTCTGACATAATAGAGTTATTTGATTATCTATTTATTTCCTGCTCACCCCATCGGGGACTTAGTTTTGCAAACGGCTATATCCTTGGAGTCTAGAAAAGTGCCGGCCGCGCAGTGGCATGCAATAAATATTTGATGAGTGAGCGCGTGGAATAATGACACGGATATAAATATGTATCACAGTTGTGCTTCATGCTATAGAAGAGAAGCACTGGCTTTTTATTCTGGCTAATTGTCTTGGCCTGGAGGATTCAGGGGAAAGCTTCATCGGAGCCTTGAGGTGTGTAATGAGTTGAGATTAGTCAGGCAAAGAGGGAGAGGCAGAGCCTTCCCAGAGGACCTTGATCTGGGGAGAAGTAGCATCTTGGAGGAACAGAGAGATGCCCCCTGAGCAGGAGCCTGGGGGAGTGAGGGGTAAGCAGGTGGGTGATAAGGTCATTGAAAAAAAAAATTGGGGCTTTATCCTGAGGGTAAAAGGAAGGAGGGTGACATAAATAGATTTGAATTTTGAAAACAGCAATCTGCCTTATTTGAAAAAAAAAACCCCACACCTAAAGCTTACTTTGAGTAAGGCTCTGTTCTAAGTGACTTCGTATTATTAACTCATTTTATCTTCCTAGGACTTTATGATGTGGGTACTATTATTAACCTCATTTGACAGATGGAGAAATTGAAGCACAGAGAGGTTAAGCAACTTTCTCAACATGACCCAGCTAGTAAGTGGCAGTAAGTGGATTCAAACCTGGTGGTCTGGCTCCATAGTTCATTCTTTTTCCCCTTTCACTCTCTCTCCCCCTCCATGCTACAGCTGAACTCAGGACCTCCTGTATAACAGGCAAGCATGCTTCCATTGAGCCACACCCCCAGCCCCTTTCTTTTTTGATATCAGCTTCTGTGAGGTATAACTGGCACATGATCAAAAGCACTGATTTAAGCATGTAGTTCAATGAGATTTAATAAACGTAGATATCTGTGTAATTCCCACCACAATCAAAATATAGAAATTTTCATAAGCCCCAATAGTTCCCTTATGCCCTTTTGCATTAAACTCCTGCCTCCACACCCCAGGAACACCCCAGGAACACCCCAGGAACACCTTTGTTTTCTGTGATTGCAGATTATTTTGCCTGAGACTTTCCCAAACATGAAATCATGAAATATGTTCTTTTGGGACAGGCTCAGCATAGGGTTTTAATGATCATTTATATTGTTGCCAATATCACTATTCCTTTTCCTGTGTATATAATATGCTTTTCCCCTTTGGTTGCTTAGAATTGAAACTGAATTGCTTATATTTGAGATACTTACAGATTTTACAGAACATTACAAAAATCATATATACGAGGAAGTTCTATGTACCCTTCACCCCGTGTCCCCCAATGGTTACATCTTATATAGGGTAAGGAAGTATATAAGTATATTCTACAGTACAATGTCAACTCCAGGAATGACAGAATCACAGAAAACAAAGGTGTTCCTGGGGTGTTCCTGGGGTGTTCCTAGGGCGTGGAGGCAGAAGTTTATTGCAAAAGGGCATAAGGGAACTATTGGGGCTTATGAAAATTTCTATATTTTGATTGTGATGGGAATTACACAGATACCTACATTTATTAAATCTCTGCCCATTGGTATCCCATTGAGTGAAGATTCCATCTTTAACCTTTCTCCTGTTGTTGGATATCTGAGTTGTTTCCAATTTTTGACTTACAAATGAATGAAGCCAAACAAATCTTTGTGTGGACATGTTTTCATTTCTCTTGAGTAAATTATTAGGAATGGAATTCCTTGATCGTACAGTATGGCATATTTAATTTTATAAGACACCACCAGTTTTTCTTATCAACAATTTATGAGCGWTCCTGTTGCTCCATGTCATTCTCAACACTTGATATTGTCAATCTTAATTATCGGTCATCCTGAGTCTGTAGTGGCCTTATTTGGGTTTAATGCACATGTTCTTGTGAACAAATGCTATGATAACCTTTTGCGTGCTTTCTTGAACACTTGTATATCTATTTTTAAAGAAATTTAACTTCGTATCTTTTTCTCATTTGTTGATTTTTCTTCTTGTTATTTCATTGTAAGAGTTTTTTAAAAAATTTATTCTGGATATAAATCCCATAGGAGATATAAGTATGCTTTTATCCACTTCTCTTCCCTGGAATCAGTGATTTGGGGAGTGGCGGTAAGAATGTAACCAGACCCTTGTCACCAAGGAGAGATGACTGTGTCTTAGACTGGGATAGGGGCTCAAATGGAGCAAAATGGTTGGAAACTTTTAAATTATTTTAAAAAAGCACTTCAAGGGATTCTGGGTCTACTTGTTCCCTTTCATCTTGAATGTTCTTAAATATATTTTTAAAAGAAACAAAAAAAMCTTGTTATGGATTGGATAGGAGGTGTCCCCTGAAAGCTCAGGTGTGAGACAATGCAAGAATTTTCAGAGGTGAAGTGATTGGGTTACRTGACCCTTAACCCAACTAGTGGATTAATCCACTAATGTGGACTCACTGGGCTGGAGCAAGTAGGTCACTGGGGCGTGCCTTTGGGGTTTATATTTTGTCCCTGGTGAGTAGAGTGCTCCTTCCCTCTCTCTG